GTGGCGACTTGAACTGTCTCATATTTATTCAAAGTTCTATGTCGAAAACAGACAGACAGACAGACAGATAAGGTTTGAAGGCAGGTTACCTGTGTTGTAAAAATTACAGTAAGGTTTAAACTCTGTGTCCTCAGTATATGACTTTGAGGACGAATGTATCTGTAGGCAAATTAAATCCTACAGTGGTCGCTTACCAGTTTTATTGCTTATTAATTCTTGAAAAGGTTGCATTGCAACAACCCAGTGTGGATATATGCACCTAACAATGAGCCACACCAGCGTGTACATGTGCTGATTCTAAGGGATTGTTTGATGTCCCATTAAAGAAAAAATACCGTAGTTCTAATATGCACTTCGCTAGTTGAGATCCAATCACCCAGACCTATGAATCATTTTACATTTGGTTTTCCAATGATTATTATTCCATCAGTGGTCTCAACTACTAGTGGGGATAAACAGGGTTACCCGATATCCCCACTTCTGTTTAAATTTGCCATCAGTCACATTCTGGAGTCGGCTCTGGAGGATGTGCGTGATGGTGGTTGTGTGGATCTGCTAACCGAAAATACTTCGAATTCGAGTTTGCAAACGACATCGTCTTACTGTGCAGTAACATGCTGCAGGCTGTGCAAATCGTACTTAATCAATTGATGGGCAATGCTTACAATAAGTATGTTATGTGCTTTTCTCCGTCTAAATGCGACTTATTGTTACAACACTGGGAGGAACCTGTACTTGCATTCACCCTTACAGTTGAACTGTAATGAGTAACCGCTAAGTACATGTATGTAGATGGTTGTTTTAGTAACCATCACTTGTCGGGTTTACAATGCTTTGGTGCGCACAGCCTTGCCCTACATCTGTAAAATCTATCCTCCGAGCTGAGGATCAGTGGTGGCTCTGTGTATTGGATCGCCAATGCCTTTGCAGATTGGTTTGCATTCAGGAGTGTTATCATCCACAACTCAGCAATGGATTCTGGTCTAAGTGAGAACATCGCTTATTGATAAGCGGATATATCCAGGTGGTTAAGGAAAGTAGTATAGAATCCTTTCTATGTTATTATTAAACCACTGAATATCTTTCCATATTTGTGCATCTCAAAAATTCATATTTATTTATATTTTAAACTGTTGTCAATCTCTTCAGCCGCCAACAGGATTAATGAACAAATTCTGAACCCTCCTCCTCCTCCTATGGATGAAAATGTCCTATGGGGTCGTGTCACTCGAAACTCATCGGGAGATTTAAGATTTCCTGGCATAAATCGCACTTTTAAAAGTGTTTCTTCAGTCTTGAGACAAATTTATCAAACGGCTACAGCTGAAGACAGTTTGTCTTTACAGGTAGGTTTTTCATAGTTTATATTGATTGATTTGTTGATATGAGTAGTCAATGTTTTCAGCCAAGTCATCACGAGTCTATTCTTCACTTTCCTCTGTGTTCAGACAGTGACCGATGATGAACTGATGAATAGTTCCTAACTACCACATTGTATCTTTAACTTCAATAGGTATATAGTTTGAAAATTATCAACCTTGATTTCGAGTGATTCGTTAAGTGATGCGGATTATTGTGATGAAATCTCCGCTGATATTAGGCTGGAAAAAAGCTAGCGGCGGTCAAACGAAAACTTGGCATCAGTCAATGAAATCCACAACAGTTGATCTAAGCCACGTAGAAAGGTGTAGACTTCCAGGCTGGGGTCCTCGGGACGGTAAATATCTATGGTTGGAAACAATTGGTGACATGGCTCAAAACCGTTCTCAGTGGCGCAGATGCATCCACTCCCTGTGACTTATGATCTTCAATGAAACTGTTTGTATTATGCTTTTCTTGTACTTTCTTCTCTTGCTTCGCGTGCTACACGGAATGTGGCGACTTGAACTTTCGCACATTTGTGCACAGTTCTATGTCGAAAACAGACAGACAAAGAACAGTGTTACCATGGGTCAAAGGATCTCAAAGTATCGTGGCCGCCTTACATTCATTCACCTGAGTGAATGCATCTATCGAGTATGGTATGATCAGATCAGATCAAGATCATCTGTGCAGTGACTGAAAGACATTCTTGCAACACATAAACAACAACTGTATGGTGTAATGTCACGTCTGCAGTGGGTTTTTTCTTTTAGTGCCTTTTTTCAACGACGATGCAACCGTTTTTGTATCTGAATTCTGATGATCGATTGGGTGTTAAAAGTCACTGGAGTTTTGGCTGTGATATTTTAACTTTGCCTATTTTATCGATTTGTCGTTTACACTCCACTTCTTATCATTTTTCGATAGGTATTTTATTACTCAAAACACTTTGAAGCATTTCTTCGATATAAAACTATCAACTACTGATTGGTGATTGAGAAGAGTAGTAATAGTAGTAGTGGTAGTAGTAGTAGGTAGTTGCATTACTACTCATAAGTACCGAGCAGTACTCACTAGACATCCCAGTCGGATCCATTGATCATACACATGATCGTTTCTGTCAGCATATTTGCGCTTAGGCTTCTCATCCGGATACTGCTAAATATGCTCCTCATGTGATGTGCAGAGTTGCGTGTTTTGGCTTAAATACAGCGGGGTAGGGGAAATAGGTAGCCAGCTGTACCATTGTAAAAACAGAAGACAAGGGCCAGCCAGGCAACATGTCGTTTATTAAGGAAATCTACACATATTTATAGATTTTCATGTACATATTATAGATTATTGTTATCAGAAAAACACAGTCTTCTGATTGGTGATTGTTTCTCACAGAAAGTTAACCTTGCATCTGTTTGTGGCTGTTTCTTGAATGTCAGATCATCTATATGTTAACTGTATCTGCCTACGCAAAGTCTTTGTGCTCATTTTTCTCACGACCAATATTGGGGACATAAACAAGCATTCACGTAAATTACTGTCTACCAACTTTGGCTAGCAGCCAGCTCTCACCACACTATAATGGTTGTTGGCGTTAGTCAAGCGGTCAGTGCTTCTGTGTCCCAGCATCGGTGTTCCTATTCTATTGAACTCAGCGTATTGTGAACTATAAGGTCAAATTTATTCTATTTTCCGAATAGGAAGTTACGGGTTATTCTGTAAATTGGAAATTCGATCCAGCGTGTATTACCACTGCTAGTTTGGGGAAGAAAGTAGCCAACCAGAATTTGTTTGATTTGAACTGATGTGGGGGTGGATGCCTCCCTGAACTGAATTCATCGCTGCTGCCCGAAAACCACTGGAACGACGTCTGTGTTGTTTCGATCCGGCTGGCTGGCTAGCAAGCACTACTTGTCGATTTGGTGTCCAACTACTCATACCAGTTAATCAGTAGTATTTAACATCATGTTTTTGTTTTTGGTTTATTATTGTAAAGTAAGCGCTGTGTAGTCATCGTAAGTGGAAAGTTTCAGAAGTGATTCGAGGGGTTTCTGTGTGATGAACCGTCTTTAATTAACCACGAAGTCTGTTTCGGTATACGCCCAACCTCTTGCTGTTCCATTTTATGTGTTTAGTTATATGTGTATATATATAAATATATAGTTATATTCTGTACGCGCTCTAACTTTCCGTCTTTGTGTGCGTTTCCTTTTCATTCAAATCCATTCAACCAGATGCTACCTGTGTCGAAATAAAACATATACTGTTCAGTTTTCATGTCTGTTTCATATGACCGTTGCGCATGGACTTGGAACGTCAGAACTGGATTGGAATCGTATGATTGAAACAAACTATGGTAAGGAAGTGGGAATTCTTCTTTTTTTCTTTTGTTTTTGTGTTTCTTTCATCAATGTGTATTTTGTAAGCTGAAACACTCTGTTGACGACGACTGTGTGACAAGCTTTGAGATAGTTGCTTGAACACTCTTCCTTGCTTCCTTGCTTTCTTCGCCGAGTTGATGGTCAACAACACGTTATGTGATAGCTAACATGCACTTCTACTGTGGACGACAGACGATGTAGTTGATGATGGTGTATCCTCTTTGACACCGACTTAGTAGTCTCTTAAGCTGATGTATCACTTTGAAAGATGCTTTTATTGATGATGTATAGACTCATTGATGACAACGTTTCAACGTGTACAAATTTTCACTGAAAAGTGTTGTAGGTAGGAGTCAAAATAGTCGCACACTCGTCCATTTAGCACACAAACGAGAGTGAAAAGAAAATGGAGGATTTAGAAGTGTACCATAATAAGTGGAAAATTTGGGGGAGAAGGAATAGTAACATGGAACAACAACAACAACAAAAGGGTTTTTATAGATATGAGAGACCAGATAGAGTGAATGGAATTCATCTGTGCTACTGGGAACAATATTAAGTCAGGTGCCAGCAATAGTCTCCAGTCAATGATCATGTTTCACTACAATAAAGGAGGGATGGAGTGAACTGTGGTACGCGCAGAGTATACACATCCTTTGATCGATAGCCATTCGGATATATCACGTCTACGCGATAGATGACTTTTAATTCAGTGAATACCTCCACCTCACACACACACACACACTCAAGTGTTTTGTATCTGTGTTGAGGTCAACCCATTGAAGGTGATGTGTAACTTCCCAAATAAGTGAAGCCTGAATGTAATGAATAAAAGGTGGTCAAGAACTGAGTCATCAATGAGTCTGCCTAATTCCTCCTTTCGACAACTATATTGAGAGTTTAGTTACAGGATTTCATCGTGGGCTTGATATTAGTTAGAGAACCATTGGAAAACCAGCTGGGAGTAGTGGACAGTTGTTTCGTCCTAGAAGTACCCGTCCACCGGGATTCGTAGCCACAACCTGGTTACAAGACAGAACAAACCAACACTTGAATATGGATGAGATGCTCACTAGGAAGTTGCCGTAGAGTTTTCCAATGGTGCATTAACTAATGTCAGCTCATGACGAAATCCTGTAAACAATCAAATCAAATCCTTGCAAAACAACACATGAAATTACAACTGCTAACACTAAAACTTACATTCCAGTAACATTTGTATCATCACAACTACGTGATAACCGTTTATGAGATGTACTTCCACTAGTTTCTGAAGTTGTTGATGCTTTTCTCTTTATTATCAAATATTTTATGCACATATCCAACAGGTTGACTACTACTACATGAAGGATGAGGAGGAGCAACAACAACACCAGCAGTAGTACTCGTAGTAGCGGTGATAGTAGCAGCAGGTGGAAATGGACCGTGTTGATGATGATGACCATTATTCAGTAGATCACGGCGTTGATTCATACATTGAAAGATTTGATCCCATAAACTAGCAGACATTTTCATTGACTGTGCACGACAATCTCAGTCGTTGGTGTCGGTGTTGCTGTTGTGAATGTTGATGCTACCTTCTTCGTAGTCATCAAAGAGGAAGGCATCAAAGAAGATGGAGATAAAGACAAAGAAGGAGAAGCGATAGCTGGTAAAGATGACACTGATGGACAGGCATTTGGCATCTGTACATTCCCATCATCAGTACTGATGTCTAACGAAGGCGAATTCTCATCAGGATTGAATGTGTAAATGCAACAGATATAGCATAAAGTGCCCTAAAAATAAAATTATTATTTCTTCGTAAAAATCAATTCATATCACATAACAAAATTACGATAAGATAATAAAAGTATACAGTGCAAAATATCAACATTAAATTGCCAATATTTACGCCAGATGCAGTTTTCCAACAATAGTTCCCTGTTCAATTCTTTGAACCATCAACGGTATTGTGTAACGCCGGACGACAATGTCAACTGCATTGCACACCTGGTCAAAAGGCTAGGCATTAACAATTAATTCTGGTGATGGCATATATTTAACTTAGATTTTAAGACACTCCATGACCAGAAAGTGGTCGGAATCAGAGGGCTACGTGTGTGTGAGTGTGCGTGTGAGCGCCTTAAACATGGGATCGAATAAGCGAGACAAGCGACCTTATCATTGCCTATCATTCTATTTGAAACAATCATGTTGCTCTGTTATCAAACCGACATTTCAGCTAACGAAGATATCTCTCTGTCCAAAATAATGATACTGTGGTGGTGTGATGCAAACAGTGTGTTCCAACCGTATATGATTCTCACATATTCCCACAGTTCAATACTACATTAGTAACAGAATACTATATGTGTATTTGAACGTTCTATTTCATGTTGTTTAATGTAAACCAAAATCACACGCCCACTGATTGCTTAAAGAATATAAACTGTATAGATATATACAGAGTGAGGTTTAATCAATTCAAAGTATACGTTCGCTTCCATGTCTTGCCTTCTGCTGTTACAACACTGTCAAGGCAAATAAATCTCATCATAAAAGTCTTTGTACTTCCCAATGAATGAAGGAATGAATAAACGAATGAAAACGAGCAAAAGGATATTGTTGTTTTTACTGACGTTTCACTATTTAATGGTGTCGCTAATGGTCTGTCTGTCTGTTTTCGACAAAGAACTTCTCACATATGTGCGGTAGTTTAAGTCGCCACACTCCATGTAGCACACAAAGCAAGAGAAGAATGTAGAAGAAATGCATAATAGAGACAGTAAACAGAGGTGTGAGACAAAGTAATAGTAATAATGAAGAACAATATAGTTTCATTGGAAATCATAAGTCACAAGGAGTGGATACATCTGCGCCAGCGCCACTGAGAACGATTTTGAGCCATGTCACCAATTGTTTCCAACTATTGGTTTTTACCGTCGTCGCCAGGGTAGGTGACAATCGGCTGTAAGCCCTCACCTGGCTGCATGAGTACTAGTAGAGTGCCTTAATCAGTGCAATATATTTTCTCGGCATTCCCTTTACAGCCAAGCATCTCCAGAGAACTTCCCGATCGACAGAGTCGAATGCTGCCTTTAGGTCAAGAAATATAATGACTGTTGGACGCCGGTAGGAATCCCTATGTTCTAGAATCTGTCGGAGGGTGAAGATATGATGAATACACCCTCTTCCTGGTCTACAGCCTGTCTGGTTCTCTCGTGTTTGTGCCTCCCAAGCACCACTTAGTCTACGCATGATTATTGAGCCTAGGACTTTAGATACTATATTAGTCAAGCTAAGCCCTCTGTGATTATCACAGGGAGACTTGTCTCCCTTCTTGTATATGGTGATAATCAGTGACTTACACCAACTCGATGGGACTTCTTCTTATTCCCAGACGCTGCCTAGTACCTCAGTTAATGCAGACTGTCTCCACCGTACTTAAATACCTCTGGAGTCATCCCATCAGGTCCTGCTGCTTTTCCTTGTTTCAGATTGGTGACAGCTTTAGTAACCTCAGTTAGGGACGGAGGACCTGTGTCTGTATCCCATTCAGGGAGGTTTTTGATGCTCTGAAGGTTGAGCTTGGCTGTGGGCCAATTTAACTGCTCCTCATAGTGCTTTTTCCAGTCGTTTAACCTAGGAGCTAATTATAGTGCCATTTTTCTCCGAGATTGTTTCACTTATGACTTGACTTCTCCCACACGTTTTCTGATGACTCTAAAGAGTTGCCTATCATCGATGCTTTTTCCATCTCTTTCGCCTTTGTCATTCACCACTGTTCATGGTCCTTGCAGAGACTTTTCGTAAGTCTCCTTTTGTGCAGCTTTCGCTCCTCATTGAATTCGGAGCTCGCCGGAATAAGTCTTCTAGCATCTATCAGTTCGGATGAGGCAGTCGAAATCCAGTGGTTTTTACTCACCTTTGGGTTTACCTTATTCACAGCTGTATCTATGGCTGACTGAGTATTCTTCCAGGCTTCTTCAGGGTGAGCACAGCTGTCGAACACAGATATGTGTTTAGCTAGCTCTTCCTCAAATACGGATTTAGTTTCCTGATCGAGCTGGGGACGTGATGGTTTTACCACCAGCTGTTTCCTACATCCGTTCAGTCGTAAGCACACCCGAGCGCGGACCAGTGCATGGTCGGTATCTACACACGTGTTCCAGAAGGAGCGACAATCTCCTACCGACCCACGCCAACGATAGCTTATTGCTATGTGGTCTATTTGTGTCCAGCGTTGGTTTGATGAAGGGGGTCTCCAAGTCAAACAGTGTCTTTCCTTGTGTTTAAAGTTAGTGCTTACAAGAAACAAATGATTATCAGAGCAGAACTGTAGGAGACGGTCACCGTTGTCGGTTCGCTGGCACGGAACTCCATAGGTGACACCGACATCCTTCTCAGATTGACACAATTTCCCTACTTGAGCGTTAAAGTCATCAGCTAGAACGACTATATCTGAGCGTTTAGCCTTTCGCACCAAACTAGACAGCTTTTGGTAGAACTCATCCTTCGTTTCATCCGAACTGCAGTCAGTGGGGGCGTAGGCGGAGATTACGAAAAGGCATCGGCGAGTAGTGCAGTCCTTTCTTCTTTTAACTGACCCGTTCAGACGGACGGCACACATTCGGCTATCTACCGGGATCCAGTCAAGTAATGTTATTTCTGCCCTAGTACCCAAAGCTATCCCTACGCCAGCTAATCCTCGTGAACTAGCTGTGGCATCTCCTGACACTCTCAAGGTGAATTTTGCAGATTCAACCTGTTGGGCAGGTGGGGTTAGGTGAATAACCACACTTGGGTCTTGTTTGCGTTTTTCTGAAACACAACATACACAACATTGTTCGTTATTGTTTGGTGTGTCTCAGTAGCATATTTATCACTCCTGCCCTGTGACACGGCAGCAGGAAGCGCGGTCATTGTTAATCCGGGCCCCGGCCGGTCCGGCATGAAATTTTTTGATTTTGTATGTTTGCTTGGAGGATTTAATCATGAGCTGACATCAGTTAGAGAACCACTGGGAGTACTGGACAGCTGTTTCGTCCTAGTTTGAGACTCTTCAGCAGCACGCACCCACCACCACGGTTCGAACCCAGGACCTTCTGGTTACAAGGCGAGCTCGTAGACCATTGAGCCACTGGGACCCAATCCAATGGTCCTTGAATTCTAACTTCTGCCAGTTCACGACATAGCACGACCACTTCGCAATGTCTTCTTCGATGAGTTACTGCGTCATCTTCAACCTGCTGTATCCTACTGGTCACGGCTTCCCACTAGAACCCCAGGTTAACTGCCTGCATAGGGCCAGTCACTAGTGAGCATCAGAATTATTTTCAAGTATTGGTTTTGTAGGGATTTTGTTTGATTGCTTGGAGGATTTAATCATGCGCTGACATCAGTTAGAGAACCACTGGAAAACCCGGGAGTACTGGAAAACTGTTATGTCCTAGTTTGTGACTCTTCAGCAGTACGCACCCACCGGGATTCGAACCCAGGACCTTCTGGTTACAAGGCGAGCTCGTAGACCATTTTCTATATATCATAGTGTTGGATTGGGTAGTTGCTTTTGGTCTAATCGCTATCCAAACAACCTTCCTGGCATGGTAGGACCTCAAGAGACATAAGTCTCAGCCAGTATAGCTTGATTAGGTCATTTTGGTGTTCAAGCCCGACCACCACGTCAAGGTAACAGCTTTCGGTCTGAGTCCAATCTCTGCCGTAGGTAGACAGGGGTTTGAACCTTGTGATCCTCCCACCTGACTGACTGAGTGAAAGCAGCACAGTGCTGAGAGTGGCGTGGTCAATGAACCATCCGTCTACTTTATTTGCTGCAATACGATAGCAATATAGAATTGACTAGTTTACCTGGACTGATGAAGATCTTGCCTAGAAAGACAATGAAAGCTGTGCAATTAAATCAATCCAATTTGAGAGAAGTCATCAACTCAACACTACATCAATTATACCATCCTGAACTCCAACTTGCATCATGATTTGACACCTAATGTTGTTTCCTAAAAAAATGAACTCACACACATACTCGTAAAAGAGATGATTAAATTATTTTAATGATATTGTTGGGTGGATAATTCAAAATGTCTGCACTATATGCGTAAATGACTTCACTGTGTTGTTGTTGTTGTTGTTGTGGGATTTTAATTCAATCATCATTGCCTGACAGATAGTCATTTGAACTTTAAGACTGTAGACGACTTCAGGGCATAATGCCTGTTGTAGGTGTACGCGAATTTGTAAGCTTAATTGAATCCGACGACGCTGCATAATCCACCATATTGAATAAATGAGTGAATTACACAGAAGAGGCTTTAAGTTCAGTGTGTTGGGAAATCAGATTTCTGCAACAGTAGGATGGTGATGTGGGTTTGAAGCTGAATCTTCGTCTGCATGTAGAAGGAGGTAGGTGTGGAAGAGCAGTAGGGCATCTACTCCTTCAAGATCTCGACAAAACAAAAAGACGGCGTGTTTTATCTGAAGTGTGTAATGTATTTGCGTAACACATCTAGGAGATTCTAATCACACACACACACACTCGAGTACTTGTCATACACATATATTATATGGAAGGCAAGAGAGCATAAATGGTTATTATTTATTTATTTTATTGTTATTACATCCTTTAATTCGTAGAGGAACATAGGGCTTCAGCTGCATGTCTCCGTTGCCTTCTGTTTTCTGCGAACTTTTTCACCCCGCTCCAAGTCTGCGCGCATGCTTTCATCTCGTCTTGACGTGACCCTCCTCCAAGTCACCCTTGCACTGACGACCAACTCGCCGCTTCCTTTTCAGGTTCCACTCGAGCGATGACTTGTTTAGTGATGTCACTTGATGGTTTCCTCAGCGTATGGCCAATCCATCTCCATTTCTTTCTGCCTATTTGTTTCACAATCGGTTCCTGGTTGGTTCGCTCCCAGAGATCCCTGTTGCTGATGATTTCTGACCGGCCATCTGATCTTGAGTATTGAGCGAAGAAAACTGTTAATGAAGGTCTGAAGTTTGTTTAAATGCTCTTTATGACGTGCCAAGTGTTTGATCCCTACTTAAAGTAGCACTGATTTCACATTGGAGTTGAAAATCCGGATCTTATTT